TCCTGTGGTGTGGGGCTTGGGCAATTACCCTGCTAGCCAGCCCTGCCCTGGGTCCCCAACAGGAGCCCCCCACTCCTGAGCAATCTCAATGTTCCCAGCTGTTCATCTAACTTACTGGGTCACTTTTGAGGTCAATTCCCTATATTGTAGTCCCTGGTGGTGCTCCCCAGGTCCTGCCACAGGTGGCCTCTTGCCTATATGAGGCTTCCAATGTCTATTTGCCCCCCAAACATGTCAGAAGGAAAAGGGGAAACTAGCCCCAATCCCAGGTAGGGCTCCCCTTGCTACTGGATTGCATTAGCAGTCCCTAGCAGCCTCTCCTGCTCCTGGGCAAACTTCTCCCTCCATCTTTTTAAGCTCCCCTTCTCCAAGGGGAGCTTGTTCTGCAAGTGCACCTAAGTGGAGCATCAGCAGACATGGCACTGAGAAGACTTGACTTGGGAGCTGTCAGAGCACCTGAAGCAGGTGGAGGAAGAGAGCTGAACTAGTTTCCTTACCTAGGACCCATATCAGACTGCTGCTAGTTGAGCTATGTGGCTAAGTGCAGTAGCTGGCAGCAGGACAAGGCTGTTATTCCAAATTGGGGGACTGGGTGTTGGATGTGGGGATGGTTGCTGGAAAAGAAAAAGAGCCTAGGCCCAGTACTGTCTCTCTCACCCACCCCTAATGTGAGAGTTGGGGGATCTGCAGCTCCATGTGATACAATGCAGGGGAGTTGGGCTTCTGGATCCAGAAGCTTTGTTGGGGAGCCAGCCCCTACCCCTTGTGGTGCCCCCAGAGGGGACATGGGCCACTGGGGACATGTGAAAGCACTTGAAAGTTAGGAGATGCCAGATTTATAGTTGCCAGTGCAACTTTAATTCTGCCCCAATGTATGGATGCATTATGATAGTGTTCGCTTACATGATTTTTCCTACAGGACCCATGCCTCAATCAGTGCACAGGATGGACATGCAAGGGGGCAAAATTAAGCTTGCGGTGGAAACTATAATTCTGGCATTTCCTAACCTTTGAGTGCTTGAGTTTGCAACCTAAATTAATGTTTTCATGTAGTTTCTTTGCATGAAATACTATACAGTATAAACAGTATATAAAAAATACTTAAAAGTTACAACATTTGTGTCTACACAGCAAAGATTTGACACAAATGGTTTCTGTTAGACGTCTCAATCTGTTTAATGTAAAGACAAGCTGGGAGAAGTCTCCTGTTCAAACTATTCTGACATTTGTAATGTGTATTTTTTTATTCCCCATTTGATTTCTTGACAGTGAACTAAACATATTGAAATATTACTATCTGGTGTCATTTGATACCTACAGGATCATATTCTGGAATGATGTACGTGTGTTTTATTATGTAGTTTGTAATTGAACTCTAGTCTCTTTAGAGGCTTTTGAGACAACATATACATTTGGTTTTCATGAAGTACAAATTTATTTTACTTGTATCTTTTACTGTCCTCGTTTTGCTGCCACTGTGTCTGTGCATCTGTCTTCGATCCGCTCTGCTTCTTTTCACTTGTCTTCCCTCCTTAGTATACATAGGAAGTTTACTTTGCTGTGTCCAAGTAATTGCAGTAAGCTGAAGATCATGCAACTACTCCAGTCACTGAGCATGCTAGGACCTTTTTGGTTTACATTCCTCTATATTTTTAAATGGCATATAAACTAATTATAGAGGAATGTAAACCAAAAAGGTCCTAGCATGCTCAGTGACTGGAGTAGTTGCATGATCTTC